CTTTTATTATATATTTGATTGATTTTTTTACATTAAATTAATTTTAATAATTTATTTATATTATATTTTTAACTCATAGCATTTTTTAATATTTTGAATTATAGAAAAACATAATTAAAATATTATATTATAATTTAATTTTCCGCGCGAATTGAAATGAATAAGAAACTATGTCGTTTCGTGCGCGAACGAATCAAAACATTGCAAAGTCCCAGCGGCTAAACAAATCAGAGAACATGGCGTCATTCGTGTGTCGAATATCGAAGCGACTAGACGTGTTACGCCGGCAAAAGTGAATGATTTTATAAAATATTTATTAGTGCTCTATTACGATTTATAAATTATTAATAATCTTAATTAATTAATACATACAATTATTGTTCATTTAATCATTCATGTTATTCCAAATTAAATAATTTTGTGAAGTTTTTTTATCATTCTCCATTGATCGTGTACTTGACCGTTATAATTATCGATATATTATAAATTCTGTTCGGATTGTAAATTCTTGAATTTAATTGAATTTGAATTTAATTATTGTTTTATTTAAATATAATTTTATTTTCACACATTTCTCTTATATTCCTGGTTTTCATTTATGTAAATTATCGTTTATTTATGAAAATAGTATCGAACTAATTGTTCGTAATATTCATATCGTTATTATTATTACTATCAATTTAATAACTTTTGCAAAAATTTAGTAAGATTTTACTTCTTTTACAAAAATAGATGTATTTAAAATAGATATTATATTCGTATTGTATTTATATATTAGATTTCGTCAAGTTTTTTTCGAGTTCATTTTTCATAATTATGTGTGTATATATATATATATTTGCATTAGATTCATATGTTAGTTCATATTATCTGTATTAATTTTATTTTATATATTATATTTAAGACTGAAAACATTCCTTAATACAGCAATTCTAAGAAATTGATCGTTTATGTTTATATTATACCATACTCGATTTGTTTCGACATGTCGCCGAGCTACTTGCAAATCCCCTCTCCAATTTGTAATTCGATAGGCATAATAACGCCGCGGGGTGTCAGTCTACTATTGAAAATCGTTGTGATTAGACGTGATATTTTCTTCAGGTAAGTGATTTATTCATTATATATTATTTCATAATTATTTTTATATTATTTGTATACTATTATAAAAATAGTACGTGTTTATTCTGTAATTTTTTGAATATTATTATGATTGATAATTCTTTAAGGATTAATTTATTCGTTTTTCTTCATTTAATCTATTTATTGATAATTCGTATTGTGAACTTCCAAAATAGGATAGAATGAGTTTGATTAATACTTTGTTTCGATATAATTGCTTTTAATTTTATGTTTTTGAAATATATTTTAAAGATTTGATTATTTTTTTGTGCAGGTTACCTGATTGCTGTGAGTATTTTCATGGCGGGAAAAAGGGATTCCAATATGGACGCCATGATGACGATTTGATGCATTGACCAATCAGATGCTGACATTATAAAAAACTGGTAACGTTTGATTTCTTGCATCAAAAATATATTTCTTTTTCTTGAATTAGATTAATATTTTTAATTGAAAATATATATATTAAGTAATTCATAATAGATCGAAAATCGTTGAAAATATAATATTTAAATGAAAATAGAAAAAATTAAATCATATTTTTGTTTCGTATATGTTAAATGATTTTTTTTATTTCACAGATTAAATTCTTTTCTGTTGTTTCTTTCATCATAATCTGTAATCTTCAGAAAGATAGCAATATTTTTTTTAACAAATATTCAATAAAAAAAAAGTAAAAATATTTATTATTACTAACATAGTTTTATTTTCAGAAAAAATTTTAATCGCGCGCAATGCGATTAGTAGAGTCAGTGTTTGCTTTGTAAAAGTTTTTTTTAAAATAATATATAATAATAATTTTTTAAAATAATAATTCTAATTAAATTATAATAATAAATTGCAAAATTAGAGTCAGTTTTTTGTTCGCCGATAATAATATAAACGAACGTGTTAGTTATGTCTTATTTTTTTATCCTTTTTTTTTTATTCGGTATAAGATAAAATCAGTGTTTTACTCAAAAGAATAAGGTGATCATCTATCATGCAAAAAGGTAATTATCTTTATGTAAGTTTCTTTACTTGTTTTAAAAATTATTACAATTTCAATTTTTATTATTATTAGAATTTATTAAAATTTTAATCGTTATTTTTATTAAACTTTAATAGAACTCTATTTTTTATTATTTCAAAATTTTTGTTACAGATGCTGACAAATTTTATAATAGATTCATGAATTTCAATTTCAAAAAATATTTGTGATTGTGTGCAATGCGAATAGAATCAGTGCTTGTTACTAAATACTAGTTTTATTATTTTTTAAAACTTGATAGTTCTATTTAAATTTAATAGTTATATATTCGAAAATAGAATCAGTGCTTGTAAACGATTGCAATAAAACGGTATTAATAGTCTTTTCTTTTCTTTTTTTTCATGTGTACATTAGTTTTCGATATAGGTTAGATTCAGTGCATCAAGAAAATAAGGCGATCATCCATCACGTGAAGAGGTAACTGTTTTTTCATGTTTAGATCTATTTCGTTGTTTCAATTTTTTTAAATCAATGCTGTTTTAAATTATAATGTATTATATTGTAAATAATTTTCAGCTTTCACAATCTCTCATTGGATGAATCAAATAATATCAATGACAACGGAGATTCTTCGCATCGAATGGTGAGTTGCATGCTTTTTTATTCCTCTAGTCACTCAATCATGTCGTAGGATGAAAGATCCCAATCGACACGGGTGACTGGTTGTATACGTAGAATTTTGCATGAGCACAATGACCATGGGTATTTATTGCACCCATGAATAGTAACATTTCTTCTTCTGTTTTATTCATTAGTTCAGGATAGGATCTTCTTGCATATCGCGTTTTTGAATAATAATAATGATTTTATAGTAATGATATATTATCATAATAATATTGCTAATTTGAATATTCCTGAATAAAACCAATATTTAAAATTAGAACATT